TACAACGAACTTCGGGTTGCTCCTGAGGAATCTCCCGTCCTCCTCACTGAGGCTCCCCTCAACCCCAAGGCCAACCGTGAGAAGATGACTCAGATCATGTTCGAGACTTTTAGCACCCCTGCCATGTACGTCGCCATCCAGGCCGTGTTGTCCCTGTACGCCTCAGGTCGCACCACAGGCCTCGTCTGCGACTCGGGCGATGGCGTCTCCCACGACGTCCCCGTCTACGAAGGCTTCGCTCTTCCTCACGCTATCCTTCGTCTCGATCTTGCCGGGCGTGATCTCACTCTTTATTTGATGAAAATTCTGACTGAGCGCGGTTATTCCTTCACCACCACCGCTGAACGAGAAATCGTCCGTGATATTAAGGAGAAGCTGTGCTACATTGCCCTCGATTTTGATGGCGAGATGAACACTGCAGCTGCCTCTTCCTCGATCGATAAGTCTTACGAGCTTCCCGACGGCCAGGTCATCACCATCGGTAACGAACGGTTCCGATGCCCTGAGGCTTTGTTCCAGCCTTCATTCCTGGGTATGGAGTCTGCTGGTCTTCACGAAACAGTACATTGTTCCATCATGAGATGCGATATTGATATCAGAAAAGATCTTTTTGCGAATATTGTTATGTCTGGTGGTACCACCATGTACCCTGGTATCGCTGACCGCATGCAGAAGGAGATCACAACCCTGGCTCCTTCCACCATCAAGATCAAGATCATTGCTCCTCCCGAACGCAAATACTCCGTGTGGATCGGCGGTTCCATCCTGGCCTCTCTGTCCACCTTCCAGTCCATGTGGGTCACTAAAGAAGAATACGAAGAATCTGGACCTGGCATTGTACATCGGAAGTGCTTCTAAACATAAATTATTGGCTTCTAATAGGCATTGTCGGAAAAATAAACCTTATACATTTTGCTTAGCTTCATATCCACATTCCCTTTCAGTTAAAACTGAAGTGGCGACGATCATAATTGTCGTGTGTCAAGAAAATTAAAGTGCAAAGAGAAGGATATAGATTTTTTTTTATAATTAACTGAAAGCAATTAGAAAAGAAAATACTACAGTATGAAGACAGTTGTGCCATTACTATAACATGAAAAAATATATATTCATTTGGATAGAAATATATTTACAGCATTACTCATATATGTTTTTTTACGGAGTATGGGAAATCGAGATCGAAGATTTTGCAGTAGTATTTCTGAAGTTCCGCCATTTTAAGAAAACTAGTAAGATCCATGTATTTTTACCCAAGGTTTACCCAATGTTATGTGGGATGCTCCTTATTAGTCAAAAAAGAAAGAAAAAAAAAATGTTTCAATAAAAAAACAATGCAACAAAAGAAAGTTAAAAACATACAAAGATCTAGTGAACATGAACGGCGTTTAAAAATATACGGACTCTGCCCACCACATTTTGTTTATTTTTCATTGTTTCATTGAAACTCTATCCAGTGCACATGAATGCTACACTGACGGATCCTTGCAGTCTGGGAGCAGAGCAGGATGCACTTTTGTATATAAAAACAATATTTTGCAGCACCAAGATTGCAGGAGGGTTCATGACTGGGATAGCACTACGCAAACTGAGTTGGCAAGATTATTCATGACCACCGAGTTTCTATTGAATCAAGGCTCAGGGGTAATTCTCTGTGATTTACAGAGTGCTCTCCAGGCTCTGAACACTCTAGACAAAGGTGAAGGATATATTACAAAGGACATCAGGATAAACGTGTATCATGCAAAAAAACGAGACCTTGATATACGTTTTTTGTGGATTCCGTCGCATGAATCCCTAGAGATGATCATACTGATCGCCTAGCAAAGTCAGCATGTGACAAACAAAGTGTGGATATAGATCTTGGGGTTCCTCTTTGTAGGATTTTATACATCATTAAAGCTTCCTTCAAAGAGGACTTGACTGAGTTGATTAATTCTGAACGCCGTGAAAGCTGTAGCATTAAGCACTATTACCGGTTTATGCAAGATTCATTCATTTGTGGTTTATATAAAACAAGAACAAGGCAGTGTGTCATTGTGACCGCAAGAATCAGGCTTGGATATAGATTGTATTGGCAGGTCAGTACAGTTTGTAATGTCGAAGAAATTAAGTGTAAACTGTATAATGAAGAATATAAGCGAATACTTGTACATTATATCTCAGAGTGGCATGTGTTACAGGCTTTCAGACCACTTAGCATGAGGTACAGAGAGCTGTAAACATTTCATATCATCTGATGTCTTAAAAGATATACTTATGTTGTATCCTAAATTTGGAATGTATTATCACATGATCACATATCAAATGTAGCAATGCCTTTCCACGCTCAAATTGTACGCTGGCGTGGCAGATAAAGTAGAGAAAGGACTGTGTAATTGTTCCTTTCCTTTAACTGAGATAGTACTTATCATAATGTTACAGCCTAAAATTACCATTATGTAATTTTATGACTATGCATCAAATGTGCCACAGCTTGCCCACGCCTATGCAGTTAGCCAGG